AGAGGCCAGCAGTGGCAGGCGGGGAATGTTGGAGTCCGCCAGTCACTGGAGCAAGCAAGCCTCATGTTCGCTTCAGTGCATGGCTGCCGGTCGCCATCTTGGTTGTCAGTTAATTTGCATATACTCACTGATTAGCCAATGGGAAGGGTAGTGGTCGTACGCTAATTACCATGTTTCTCTTTTATTAGTGTAGATAGATATTTTAACTCATGCACAACAATAAATCCTATATAACAAGAGAGGAATATGCTCATTAACCGTTACACCCTTAGGCATAACAACCAAGCATGTCACGACCAGATCCCAGGTCAGCAGGGGGGTGGGCCAGAAAGGTACAATTGGGCTGCAGAGAGCTACAGGAGAGGGCAGGGCAACAAGCTATGAGGGGGGTGCGGGGGGAGCTACAGGAGGGCAGCAGCGACCTACTGGCGCATGGATTCATGCACAGGGCTACTAGTAAATAAATAATTTTTTTACATAAAGACCCTGTTGAGTGGATGAAGAGATAAGCTACAGGCTTGGAAGAGTATTTGCAAACTGCTATCTGAAAAAGGACTTGTGTCTAGAATTTACAAAGCACTTCAAACTGTTTTTCATTCTCAACCATAAAAAATAGTCCACTTGTAAATGGGTAAAAGCCAGGTACAAACATTTCACTGAAGAGGATATACAGGTGGCAAATAAGTACATAAAAAGATATTCCACATCACTAGCCAGCAGGGAAATGCAAATTAAAACCACAGTGAGATATCAGTGTATGCCTGTCAGAATGGCTAAGATAACAAATAGTGACAACATGGATTAACACCAATTAACACCAATTATTTAGTGCTAACACCAAATAGTGATATCAATAATAGTGATAAGGATGTGAAGACACCTTCAATCCTACCTTGCTGTTAGGAAAATAAAATGGTATAACTACTCAGGAAACTGATTCTTTGAAGACTATTCATGAAATTATCATACTGCCCAACAATTGCAGTCTTGGGCTTTTATTGCAGAGAAATAAAAACTTATGTTCACGCTTCATAGCTTTTTTTTAAATTGTGTGCTTTATTTTATTTTAAAATTTTTATTTTTCAATTACAGTTTACATTCAATATTATTTTGTATTAGTTTCAGGTATACAGCATAGTGGTTAGACAATCACATGTTTACAAAGTGTTCCTCCCGATACTCCTAGTACCCACCTGCAACCATACATAGTTATTAAATATTATTACATTCCCTATGCTGTACTTTACATCTCCGTTACATAACTTCTTTATTTGCAATAGAAAGTTAAAGCAACCCAGGTATGCTGTAGTCAGTGCATAAACAAACTGGGTACATCCATAGCATGAAATATTACCAAAGAATAAAAGGTACCAGACCATTGATGAGCGTAAACCTTACATGAATCTGCAAGGAATTCTCAGATGAAGGCTCAGTGAAAAAAGTCAATCCCAAAGGTTACATGCTCTATAATTTCATTTGTATAACATTCTTGAAATGATCAAAATTATAGAAGTGGAGAAAGGATTAGTGGTTGTCAGAGATTGGGAAGGAGGGTTTGGAGGAAGGAAGTAGTACGGTTATATAACACGGCAACACGCGGGGACTTTGGCTCCCCTTTTAGGAACACCTGTATGTTCTGTACTCGACTGTGTTGGTGATCATACACATGTGCACACATGGTAAAATTTGTTTAAAACTAAATATAGCAAGGAGTGCGTGTAAAACTGATGAAATCAAACCATGTATCAATGTCAATATCTTGGATATTGATGTTGTACTATGGTTATACAGATGTTACTATTGGGGGGGAGAGAGTGAAGGATATACCGGATTTCTCTCTACTATGCTCATATGTGAATTTGCAATTATTTCCAAAATTAAAAAAAGGGAGGTGCATAACCAATGTAAAAGTCCCAAAGAAGCCCCCACGTAGTGGAAGCTAATAATAAACTATCCATAAACTTATTCTTTTCACCTCTCAAGGCATCCCTTTGAGTTTAAAAAAAAAGGACAGTTTCAGCTATCATTAGGGGGTATAGTATGATTTCCCCAGAATTTGGAGATGAGAATTAAACTAACAAGAATAAAATAATTAAGGAGAGTAGCCATTAGCCACCATAGATGCTTCCACAACAAAATGAGGAAAGCAATGCATAGTGAAAAGTAACCACAGAGGAGAATCTGAGGAAGGTAGGCCTTCAATATATGTGTACAGTTAAGGTATTAACTCATTTTGGGGGAGAGCCATCTGAAGAAAGAAACTTACTTATCAGGAAAGGTGTCTGCATCCTAGAGAAGCAGGAGCCCAGAGAAGAAGAAAGTATTTGGCTATCCGGAGCCTTGCTTTGGAGGGAAAGGACCTCGTCCTAACATTGATCTTAGAGTTAGAGTTGGCAGAGCTGCCACTTACGGAACTTGTATTATGTGTGCGGAGTTACCAGTTCACATTAATCCTCAGCACAACACACTGAGGATTACAGATATCTCCCATTCCCCCCCTTTTATTCCCCTCCTAATACAACTATTTTTATGTAACAGTCTATGCAATAAATAAAAGCTAAGTAGCAGTTATCTCCATAATTAAACTGAGGCTTAAGAAATGAAATAACTTCCGAGGGAAGGTCAATGGGGAAAAAAGGAGACATATGTACTACTATTTTTAATACTTTAAACAATAAAAAAAAATGAAATAACTTGTTAGAGATCAGATGCACGGCAGAACTGGGTTTCGGTCCTGCGCATTGCCATACCATTTCCATTACACCATGCTGCTTTCTTTAAAGTGAATTAGCACATGTAACTTGATGCCATGGTCTTAGAATTATCTCAACTCTCTTCACTCTATTTTCCTGATTCCAAATTCTGATTTCCCATATAGGTGTTCCTAAAAGAGGAGCCAATGTATTTGTCCATTTGGCAGTTGCGTTTCTCGGTATACATAAATAAGTTGGCATTATGGTTTATTCACCAGTCTGTTTTTAAAATGGTTTATAGGCATGAGTTCTGGGGCTGATAATTTTGGGCATATTGGAGCATTCTGTTACAGCAAAGATATGCTACTGAACTTGGCTTAACCTACAAGTACTGGTTCGAACCCCAGTAAACGACTTTTCCCAGTTAATTATAAAATCCAAAACAATGAGCAGCAGTTTCTCCCTAGAGGTTCTATGTAATCCCATATCCTTCTCCTGTCAGATCACCTGTGGAAATCACGAGGGTATTTTATTTTCCAGGAACCGGTATGTTTTGCCTTAAGGATTGTTAGCATCCAGTGTCTCAAATAGACTTTCTGTGATGGTTTTGGGCAAAGAAGTAAAGTGATAGTTGTTTCTTTCTGTTTTCTACCAATCATTTTTCATAGGCACTTCTGAAGCTCTGCTTTCCACTTCATTTTGGTGGGGGATTTTTTATTTATATATTTTTGCTTTAAAATATACCATCCAATGGAACTGGAGACCATTATGCTAAGTGAAATAAGCCAGTCAATGAAGGAAAAATACCACATGATCTCACTCATTTATGGATAATAAAGACCATTATAAACTTATGAACAAAAATAGATACAGAGGCAGAGCAGCCTCGAACAGACTGTCAAACTACAGCAGGAAGGCCAGGGAGGGTTGGGGGGTAGGAGGGGAGGGTAAGAGATCAACCGAAGGACTTGTATGCATGCATATAAGCATAACCAATGGACATAAGACACTGGGGGATAGGGGAGGCCAGGGGATTGTCAAGGGCGGGCAAAAAATGGAGACATATGTAATACTCTTTGTAATACTTTAAGCAATAAAACAAAAAATAAATAAAAAATAAAATATACCATCCAAAATGCCTAGCATATGGCTTTCCTCCCCTCCCCCATTGTGTTGGAAGGAACAAATTTAAAGTTACACACAACACATTTTCCAAATCATTCATTTGAGTGTCTTCTGAGATTGTTGCTCAATAACGTTTTGAGAAAAATTCAGATTTGCAAAGCATTTGTCATTTCCTCCTGGGTTGCTAATTTATTTTGTAGCCATTTATTTCTAACATTCTTGTTACCTAAGCTGTAGACATATGTACATGCTGGACCCATAGATCCATAAATCCATAAATGTTAATAGCACTAAAAGTAGGTTTGACTTTGTCTTTGGTACCTAGTTCTAACACAAAACCTTCTTCTCCAAGTCCTAACCCAAACTCTTTTGTCATTTCTTAAATACATCAATACTTGTATAAGGATAAGTGTCATAATTAGAAACTTTCCACCAGTTTTCATTGAGACTCTGGAATATCTAAGCTAATGCAGGATAATAATCATCCATGTTACCTTGCAAGGATTTCCCATGTAGGTGGTCGTAATGTTGAACCATAGTTTCATAAGATGCACTCTTTTTCAACGAAAGTAAACTTCCTGTCTGTCCTGAATCAGGCACGTTTTTGTCTTTGTTATTAATACCTGTTCATTTTCTTTCAGTGGAACAGGAATGGATGGAAAGAAATTCAGCGTATGGATGTTTTTACCTCTTGTATTTACTTTATTTACTTCGGCTGGATTGTGGATAGTGTGAGTATCCTCTTATTTATTATTTAAGGATTGGAGTGCAATGTAGATAACAATGTGGTTTTGATAGCATATGGCATATCTAGAGCAATGTGTTTATAAACACTTTAAAAAAATGTTTACAAATTCAACCTTGCTAAAGTCCCCATTTCTCTTCCCTTCTTCTGTTACCCAAAGTAACAAAAGTAATAAATTATGTAAAGCAGGTAGTGAAGAATACTAGATTCTTGTGTTCCCATGTCCTTCCAGTAATGAACATCCTAAACACTGGTGATATGGATTCATTATTTGCAAGATTTGCTAATTTGACACTAACATCCTAAAGATTTTATGACAGTCCAGTTCATAGTCAGGGTGGTTTTTTGTGTGATTAGGTCTGGTATGTTTATAAAATGGGTATCATTACATTGGAAATCTTGTCTTATCACAAAACATTCCACTCTTGCTTATTTCAATTACTGTTCACTTGTAGAAAATTATTTTAGCCCTAACCAGTTTGGCTCAGTGGATAGAGCGTCGGTCTGCGGACTGAAAGGTCCCAGGTTCGATTCCGGCCAAGGGCATGTACCTTGGTTGTGGGCACATCCCCAGTAGGAGGTGTGCAGGAGGCAGCTGATCAATGTTTCTCTCTCTTTGATGTTTCTAACTCTCTATCCCTCTCCCTTCCTCTCTGTAAAAAATCAATAAAATATATTTTTTTAAAAGAAAAATAATTATTTTAGTTCCTTGCAGTTCATTAAGAAAGGTGGAGTGAAAAATTAGGAAATGAGAAAATTTGAATTCGAATTTTAGTTTCCCCAAAGCTGTAAGGTCTCATTTCTTTGTTTTCCAGTTTTCAGATTATAATTATTTCCATTAATTTTGGGGATGTTTTGAAAATTAAAGAAATATTATTAAGAATGACATTTGAGCTTCAAAGAACTGTATGATCTAAAGGTAAAAAGCATTAGAGTAAAAGAGCATTTTCCTGGTTAGGGAAAGATAAATAGGATCTAATGTGGTTTGTCTAATAAAACTGGGAAACAAATTATTCTTGTGTTGTTTTTTTTAAAAAAGTCTTTGTTTTATAAACTTTTGTTATTCTTCCTTCATAGATACTTTATAGCTGTGGAAGATGACAAAATTTACCCATTAAATTCGGCTGAAAGGTAAGGTTTATCTCTGGGTAATTCATTGTTCACCAATAGACCTAACAAAAACTTTGCAATTGGTGAGGTTAAACTGTGCACAGATGACTATATTTAACCTGAACATCTATGTTTTCTGTTTTCCAGGAAACCTGGTGTGAAGCATGCACCATATATAAGGTAATTTGATAATTCTCTTCTGATCTATGAAAAAGTTACAAGAGGAGTGTCTTAATTTGGGCTACTTACCAAAGTAGCATAGAATGGGTGGCTTATAAGTAACAAATTTATTTCACATAGTCTGGAGGCTAGAAGTCCAAGATGAGAGTGCCAGCATGGTCAGGCCCTGATGAGAGCCCTCTTCTGGGTTACGGACTAGCATCTTCTCACTGTATCCTCACAGGATGGAAAGAGGACGAGAGAGGTCCCTTTTGTAAGGGCACTACTCCCATTCATGAGGGCTCCACCCTCATGACCTAATTACCCCCAATGGTCCTACCTCCTAATACTACTTTATTGGGAATTAGGATTTCAGCATATGAATTTTAGTCCTTTGTAGAGGGTTATAGACTTTAACACAGTAATAAAAAAAAACATTTCATATTTTTCAAGTATTGCAGGTGATCAACCTCCTGCAAGCTGTGTGTTTAGTCAAGTCATGAACATGGCAGCTTTCCTAGGTAAGAAGATAATAAAGGATGCTTTATGTGCTTTGGTACATTTCTATTGATCTTCAGTTCTCCCAGGCCCATATCAAAAGCATGGCAAGCTTAGTTGATAATTTGGGATCATATCATGGGGAAGCTTTTTGTTTTGAGGGTATCTTTTCTCATAAATCCTTTTATGTTCACCCTGTTTATCTTTCATTTTCTCATCTCTTTATCATCTTTATCATTTCAGTGTACTCTTGGCTTTATTTCTTTTGCTGCATGAAATAATATATTTCACATATCACAAAATCTTGCATATGAATGTAATATTGTGCAATTTTTTTAATGCTTTATTTATTTCTTCACTGGCAAAAATGAAAAATGCCTAGGCTTTGTGCTAAATATTGATGTGTGTAGATACTGTTTTTTAAATTTAAAGGTGATGCTCTCCCCTGTGTCTATCCTATATACATATCAAGCTGGCACATGGATACATAGTTTTAAAAAAAGAAAGAAAGAAGCCTGGCTAGTGTGGCTCAGTGGTTGAGCATTGACCCTGAACCAGGAGGCCACAGTTTGATTCCCGATCAGGGCCTGGGCTTTAGGCGCAATCCCCGGTAGGGTGCGTGCAGGAGGCAGCCAATCGATGTTTCTATCTCTCCTTCTCCCTTTCTCTCTCTCTGAGATTAATAAAAACATATCCTAATATATAAAAACCCTGGGTCTGTCACTACCTGAGGCTCGACCAGCCGGAAGTTAGTCCTGCAGTCGCGGTGACCCAGCACTGACTGCTGAGGGGACTGCGAATCAGGCCTGGAGAGAGTCCTGAAGAGAGAAGCAGGGTCTGATCCGTAGCCTCTGTGGCAGCTGTTGATCAGCACTTGCCTCTCTCTTTTTCTCCAACAGCCCTGCCTCCATTTCTCTCCAGGCCTCCACTAGGGCTGCTGATCAGCCCCACCTTTCTGGTCAGTCCCTGTTGATAGGCCCAGAGACACTGACTGGCATAGAAAAATCAGAACCAAATCTAGGTGAAGTGTGAGGAGCCAATGGCTGCCTAGGAGGCAGAGCTTTCGATGCTGACTGGCATAGAAACCTACCAATCAGAACCAAATTGACCAGCAGAGGAGGGTAGTTGGGGGCAGATCAGGCCTGCAGGGGAGGGCAGTTGGGGGCGAGATCAGGCTGGCAGCGGAGGGCAGTTAGGGGTGATCCAGAAGGCAGAGGCAGTTAGGGGCAATCAGGCCTGCAGGGAAGGGCAGTTGGGGGAGAGATAAGGCAGGCAGGGGAGGGCAGTCGGGGGCAATCAGGCCGGCAGGGGAAAGCAGTTGGGAGCAAGATCAGGCCGGCAGGGGAAGGCCATTGGGGGAGAGATCAGGCCAGCAGGGGAGGGCAGTTGGAGGGGACCAAGCCTGTAGGGGAGGGCAGTTGGGGGCCATCACCCAGCAGGGAGGGCAATTGGGGGTGAGATCAGGCCAGCAGGGGAGGGCAGTTGGAGGCGAGATCAGGCCAACAGGGGAGGGCAGCTCGGGGCGATCAGGCTGGCAGGAGAGCAGTTAGGTGTTAATCAGGCCAGCAGGGGAGCTGTCAGGGGGTGATCAGGCTGGCAGGCAGAAGCGGTTAGGGGCAATCAGGCAGGCAGGCAGGTGAGTGGTTAGGAGCCAGCAGTCCCGGATTGTGGGATTGGGCCTAAACTGAGTCAGACATTCCCCGAGGGGTCCCAGATTGGAGAGGGTGCAGGCTGCATGAGGGACACCCACCCCTAGTGCATGAATTTTGTGTACCAGGCCTCTAGTCCTATCTAATAAAAGAGAAACATGGTAATTAGCCATACAGCCGCTACTCTTCCCATTGGCTAATCACTGAGATATGCAAATTAACTGCCAGCCAAGATGGCGGCCGGCAGCCAGGCAGCTGAC